CGGGGCCCCCCTCTGGAGCCAGGCCCGGAGGTGAGGCACGTTGGCGAGCGCCTGGTGGCTGGGCTTTCACCCATGGAGCCCGGCCGTGCACAGCCCAAAGAGGAAATGTGGGTCCCCCTCCCCATGGGCTCACCACTCGTGGGAGGGGCCAAAGAAGTCGGGTGCAGTGTGTGACAGGTGGTAGTCGAGGGCGGGGACCTTGGTGGTCTGATCCTCCGCTACAGAAGCTGGCTCTTGGCACATGGAATGTCACCTCTCTGGTGGGGAAGGAACCTGAGTTGGTGTGTGAGGTTGAGAGGTTCCGACTAGAAATGGTCTGACTCGCCTCAATGCATGGCTCTGGCTCTGAAACCAGTTTCCTTGAGAGGGGTTGGACTTTCTACCACTCTGGAGTTGCTCCCACTGAGAGGCGCCGAGCAGGGGTGGGCATACTAGTTGCCCCCCATCTTGGTGCCTGTGCGTTGGGGTTTACCCCAGTGAATGAGAGGGTAGCCTCCCTCCGCTTGCGTGTGGGGGGACGGGTTCTGACTGTGGTCTGTGCTTATGCACCAAACTACAGTTCAGACTACCCACCCTTTTTGGAGACCTTGGAGGGGGTGCTGGAAAGCGCTCCTTCCGGTGACTCCCTCGTTCTGCTGGGGGACTTAAACGCTCGCGTGGGCAACGACGGTGAGACCTGGAGAGGTGTGGTTGGGAGGAACCCTGATCTGAATTTGAGTGGTGTTTTGTTATTGGACTTCTGTGTCAGTCATGGATTGTCCATAATGAACACCATGTTCAGACATAAAGGTGTCCATATGCGCTCTTGGCACCAGGATATCTTAGGCCGCAGCTCAATGATCGACTTTGTTGTTTCATCTGACCTGCGGCCGCATGTCTTGGACACTGGTGAAGAGAGGGGCAGAGCTGTCAGCTGAGCACTACCTGGTGGTGAGTTGGCTCAGATGGTGGGGGAGGATGCTGGTCAGACCAGGCAGGCCCAAACGTGGGAGGGGGGGGGTAGCAGTGCACTAACAACACTATCTATAGTGGGGATGGTGTGCTGCTGACCTCTTCTCAGGACGTTGTGGATCGGTGGGCAGAATACTTCGACGACCTCCTCAATCCCACCGACACGCCTTCCAATGAGGAAGCAGAGTCTGAGGACTTTGGGTTGGCGCCTCAAATCTCTGGTGTTGAGGTCACTGATGTGGTTAAAAATCTCCTCTGTGACAAGGCTCCAGGGGTGGATGAGATCCGCCCGGAGTTCCTTAAGGCTCTGGATGTTGTGGGGCTGTGTTTGCTGATGCGGCTTTGCAATATCGCGTGGACATCGGGGGCAGTCCCACTGGACTGGCAGATTGGGGTGGTGGTCCCCTTATTTAAAAAGGGGATCACACTCCTGAGCCTTCCTGGTAAGGTCTATTCAGGGGTTCTGGAGAGGAGGGTCCGTCGGATTGTTGAACCTCAGATTCAGGAGGAGCAGTGTGGTTTTCGTCCTGGCCGTGGAACACTGGACCAGCTCTATACCCTTAGGGGGATCCTGGAGGGTGCGTGGGAATTTGCCCAACCAGTCTACATGTGTTTTGTGGATTTGGAGAAGGTGTTTGGCCGCGTCCCTCGGGGGGCCCTGTGGGGGGTACTCCGGGAGTATGGGGTACCAGGCCCTCTGATACGGGTTGTTAGGTCCCTGTATGACCGGTGTCAGAGCTTGGTCCACTTTGCCGGCGGTAAGTCGGGCTCATTTCCAGTGAGAGTTGGACTCCGCCAAGGCTGCCCTTTGTCACCGATTCCGTTCATAACCTTTATGGACAGGATTTCTAGGTGCAGCCAAGGTGTGGAGGGCATCCGTTTTGGTGGCCTGAGGATCAGGTCTCTGCTTTTTGCAGTTGATGTGGTCCTGTTGGATTCATCAGAACGTGATCTTCAGCTTTCGCTGGAGCGGTTCGCAGCCGAGTGTGAAGCAGCGGGGATAAGAATCAGCTCCTCTAAATCTGAGACCATGGTCTTGATTCGGAAAAGGGTAGAATGCCTTCTTCGGGTCAGGGATGAGGTCCTGCCCCAAGTGGAGGAGTTAAAAGTATGTCGGGGTCTTGTTTACGATTGAGGGAAAACTGGAGTGTGAGATCGATAGGTGGATTGGTGCTGCATCTGCAGTGATGCGGGCGTTGTACCGGTCTGTCGTGGTGAAGAGAGAGCTGAGTCAGAAGGCAAAGCTCTCGATTTACCAGTCGATCTACGTTCCTACCCTCACCTATGGTCATGAGCTTTGGGTAGAGACCGAAAGAACGAGATCGCGGATACAAGCGGCCGAAATGAGTTTTCTCAGAAGAGTGGCTGGGCTCTCCCTTAGAGATAAGGTGAGAAGCTCGGTCATCTGGGAGGGGCTCGGAGTAGACCCGCTGCTCCTCCACATCGAGAGGAGCCAGTTGAGGTGGCTCGGGCATCTGGTCAGGATACCTCCTGGACGCCTCCCTGGTGAGGTTTTCCGGGCACGTCCAACTGGGAGGAGACCTAAAGGTAGACCAAGGACAAGGTGGAGGGACTATGTCTCTCACCTGGCCAGGGAACGCCTTGGGATTTCCCCGGGAGAGCTGGCCCAAGTGGCTGGGGAGAGGGAAGTCTGGACCTCTCACCTTAGGCTACTGCCCCCACGACCCGACTCCGGATAAGCGGATAAAAATGGATGGTTATTTTTTCATTTTAAATTATTTTAAAAGTTGGGGTCATCTTATGTATTTGGGGTCTAACCATTACATGCCCGTATCAGCAGAGGGCGCTGGGCTATATGTTCTCAACAGGAGAAAAAAATAAAGACGAGAGGTCCGGAACAGAGTTGACCAAAAGTGGGCAAGTTAACAAGCTATAAGGCAGAGTTATGCAAATTTTTAGACAACTGTGGTCAATTCAGCAGAGGTGTCAAGCATTGCATGCATGGATACCTTGTGAAGATGAAGTTCTGGGAGAAGTCGGCAGGTGTAGCGATCTGATGGTACACCTGGACCGCAGCAACATGAGTGTGAATGAGAGTGAGTGAGTATAGTGACACAGAGGGTGTCTGAATAAAAGCCTCATTTGACTTTTGATTTCACATGTCAGCAAAGTTCTGATAGTTTGTATTAAAATAATATTTTTGCTCAGTGTTTGTTCTCAAATTGTCAATAAAAATAGTTGATTTAAAATGTGAATTTTTTGTCTTTTCCTGAAGATTAGTCTTGGAAAGAGGGTCATCTTATAATCGGGGTCGTCCTATATTCAGGTCAATACGGTAATTGATCTTTCTATAATGTTTCCTTCTGTGAAGAACAGTCGATGTGAAGAACTGAGTACAGCAACAAAGCTAGAAAATTTACAAAAAGCAAAAGTATCGTATTACACTAAACTTCCCTTCGAAAACATTTGAACAACCTAACCAACAGAACAAATAAACATAGATAGGTAGGTATTTTGGAACTCACCATAGACAGCACAACATTCCCTGAGAGTCCTGTAATCGCAAACAAATTGAACTCTTACTTTATCCTCCTGCAACCCAAACTTGTGTTTGATGTGATTTAAAAGAAAAAAACATATCTAGCTATTACAGATTAATCAGCTCTCATTAACTCATTCGCTGCCAGCCGTTTCCTGGTCGGTAAAGCCCTTCGCTGCCAGCGTTTCTCTCCATTTTTACAGTTTTTTTTTTTTTAGAGTGACAGAACGTTGCGCGCTAGGATGATGTCGAGAAGGTATTCAGTCTGATTCTGTAAAGGGTGTTGTTGTTGGGTTGGTAGCAGAGCTCTCATGTTTAGTGTTAAGTTCAGTGAGATCATGGAATGGGATCAAGAATTTTCTACCGACAGGAAAAAGATCTCTGCTAACATAGCCGTAGATCACACTGGATAAGTCTCTGTGGTTACATTTATTTTACTACCTCTTACTAGAGCTGTCTTTAGTAAGCACAAAATATCTTTGGTTGTACACCTGTGCAATAGCAATAAAGTATCTTGATTTCTGTTAAATGTACTTCCTGAATGAGTGACCTTTTAAGGCTAAAATAACAAAATGACAAATAGACAGGGATGTTACAACCACATTTTTGCCCCTGATCTGAGTCCCAAGTTGTTTGATTATTGATTATCCTCCAATACTGAGTCCTGTTCTGATACCAGGTGGTGATGCAATGCATTAAAAAAGAAGAAAGAAGTTGTCCTTCTATCTGTATTTGCCATTTTGTTATTTTAGCCTTAAAAGGTCTCTCATTCAGGAAGTACATTGAACAATATTCAAGATTCAAGCTTTAAAAGCTAAAACAATTATTTATGAACTAACATTAACTTCAGTTAATGACACTAAATTACATATTTTTGCTAGTTTATTATGTTGTTTGAACCCAAGGGTCTCATTATCTGAATTTTTCAAACTTGTTGGATCATGAATCTGTGCCTCTTTTTAAACTTTGAACACCCGCCCCTTCAAAGTTCTCTGCACGGCCCTGGAGAATGGTACCTAAAAATCCTCCTTGAGGAACTCCTCCAACCATCCAACAACAGTTTGGTGATGAACAATGTCTCCAGCATGATGGAGCACTGGGCCAGAAGGATTAAGCCAGAACTAAGTGGATCAGGAACCAAACATCAACATGTTGGGTCCAGGTCCAGGAAACTCCCCAGACCTTAATCCCACTGAGAACTTGGCTTATCCTCCGGAGGCGGGAAGACGAACATAAACCCACAAAGCATTGATGATGAAAAATGAGCTCCTTCAATCAGAATCCGGACCAGAAGATTATTGACAACACCAATAACTAAATTAACTATTTACATAAACTCAATGTTGTTGTCAATTAAATTCTTTGAAATTTATAAAATGTTGTAATTCTACTTCAGTAACCACGGAAACATCTGGCATCTAGAAACTCAATAGCAGAAAAATCTGTGGAAACTTTCCCAGAAGCTTTGATTGTGTCTTCTGGGCTCATGTGTTAGTTTAAAATATGCATCTTGTTGTTTGTATTAACATAACCTCCTTTCCTCTGACAGAGCCATTACACCCGAGCCCAGGCCAACAGCCCCCGCCCCGTCATGACCTCAGCAGGGCAGAATCCTAAGAGCTCCCAAGGGGCGCTGGCCCCTCAGCAGCAGAGCCAGTCACAGCAAATCCAGCAACCATTCAGCCAGTCGCACAACTCACCGTTGGGTAATGGTCGGGAGCAGAGAGAGCAACGCAACACTTGCTCTTCCAGAAGGAAAGGGTCCGACAGCAGTGCTCCAGAGGAGAACAAGGAGAGGAGAGACGAGCCTTCGAGTCGAGGTGACCTGCGTCCTTTCTGCTTGATTCATAACTAGCTTATCATTTAGTGCACTCACCTCTAAAGGCATCAAGATGCGGTATCTACATCTGAAGTTCCTCAGGTGGTGCACATATTGCAGGATGGTCTGAGGAGGCATAGCCTCGAAGGGCTGCACATACTTCTACATGCAAGCTGGAGATACCTTGTGTCAGTACTTCCTGGATGAAGACATCAGTGCTATTGACTGCCGTGCCCATTTCCCAGACCCTAATTCGATCAAGCACATTTGGAACATGTAGCGCCCACCATCATGACATGCTAACTCAAATGGTCCAGGAGATGCAGATATCCAGCTCCAGTCCTGAGAAGAGGTTCCCTCTCAGAACATCTATTATCTCGCCTTTATGGTTATCTACCAACTCGGGTTGCAATGCTTCATGATCTATTTGAGCTGATGCTTCTAAATAGTAGATGAATATTGCTGGGCCTTTCAAACACATCTACAGGTTTACGCAACTTTCCAGGTCCTGAGGTCCTAACTGACAACTATTGCCTGCATAAGCAGCCCACTTTACCTCCTGAGCTGCCCATTTCAAGTTCTAAACAGACGAGTTACCAAAAAAATCAGGCCCCTCAGAGTTGTCATGACAAACTAAATCTATTAAACCTGCAATGTTTTATTAACCAGGCTATAAACGTGTTTATCTCTGCTGGGAAGTTGGCATTTTTAACATGGGAGTCAATGGGAACTTGCTTCTTTTTGGTGCCAGCTCCTAGTGGATGAGAACGGGACTGCAATGTTTTGTTTGTTCCTTAACTTTAGGAAGATTTAGGAGATTAGCCCATGACAAACAGTCCTCAGAGACTACTTATCCAAGCACAGCCGGGCCCACAGGCATTAGATCACTGTTTGACCAACAGAATCCACCACAGTTGCAGCTGGCAATAAACAGGCATGTCCCAGAAAAGCAGCAACTTACGTGTGTCTTGTCTTTGTCTAGATTCAAATCTGAAGGTGAGCAAACGGAGAAAAGATGAAGCAGATGAGAAAAAGGCAGGTCTGAAGCGGCTGAAGACTGACCCAACATCTGATCTGTCAGAGAGCAGTGACTCAGAAAACCCACCCAAAAGGACCACCCCTTCCTCATGCTCCTCCTCCTCTTCTTCATCGTCATCTTCCTCCTCCTTCTCCTCCTCATCAGAGCCTAACTCTGAGAACGAGCTGAAACCCAGCTGCATTGATGTGATGCAGAGTTCCGTTTCCAGAACAGATGAGGATGAGAAGGCAGTGGTTAATGGAAGCAAAATGACTGATTATTCATCCCTGATTGGTTCCATGTCTCCGTGGGAGGAGCTTGCAGAAGTTGCTGAAGACCTCAAGAAGAGTACAGTAAAGGAACCAGTTCAGATTATAATTAAGGAGGAGGTAGAACTGGTGGCACTTACTCAGATCACCCAGTCTCCAGTGGAGCCAGTGAAACCTGTCCTGTCTGAGATCTCCCAGAGCGGACTTCTAGAGAACAAGAACCTGGTGAAAGGTAGGCTGCAGTCAGCTGATGGCCTCCTCTCATAAATCAAATACTTGACCGGTCTTTTTTTGTTCTCTTCAGCATCCACTCCCTCCCAGACCAGATCTCTCATTCAGATTCACGGCAGTGCCGTAATCGACATCACAGACGATGCTCAGGCCACTGTCCACTGGGAAAGCTCTGAGGCTGTGTCGGCACTGCTCGCCTCGCAGAATGCTGAGTCAACTGCCCTCTCACCCTACCTCCCTCTCAACCCTTCCCCCATTTCCTCACCTCCCGTTCCTCCGTCGCCCTCCCCATCAGAGGGATGTCACAGAGGGGAGCCTGAGCCTCTCATGAAGTTGTCAGGCGTTGCGGGAGGCAGAATGACATCGCCCAAGAGTTCAGGCAGCAAGTTGGAGTTTGCTCCCTCTGAGTTGATCAGGTGAGAATCGTGTTTAGTTTACACACAAACATCTAGAGTTCTGGAAGGTTCCCAGCCGTATTGTGTCTCTCAGAATGCATGGCTTGTGTTCCGGAAGGGATCCTGGGGGCTTTGTGGGACTAAAGTCAGTCTAGTATATGAGCAGGACGTTCAGGTGTGCTGCATGTGCTTCAGTGTATGAGCTCTGTAATGTTCTCCAGCTGGTGAGATGTTTGACTTCTTTAACGCGAGTCTCAAAGGTTTCTACTGCTCTGTTTTTAAGGCCCATCACGGCAGTGGCTGAAAGCGTATCGCTGCTGGAAGAGAAGACCATTCTTTCTCATCAGCAACAGCAGAAACATCTACAGCATTACACATCTACCCCCCATGGAGATAATTCACCTTCATCAGAACAGAGGTGGAAACATCTGCAGCAGCCCCCTCCTCACAAGTTAAATGCTGCCATGCCCCCTGACTTGACTATGCCCGAAAAGAGCCCCAGCCCAAACCGCAGCTCGGCCCAGCTGGATACTGTGAAGCAGAGTTCCCGACCCAGGAGCAACTCTCCAAGCCACCCCCATCCTTCCACTTATGCAGCCGACCATTCGATGTCTGAACCCCCCCCTGACCTGCTGGACATTTCTAAACCCAAAACAAACACTTGTCCTGAGGTGTCTAAACATAAAGTAATCAGGAACCCAGCTCCTTCTCCACCTCCATTCACCCGTCTGCCCAGTAAAGCGGATGCTGCAGAACCTCCGCGGCCTGGCTTTGAGTCGGTGCCAGTGCGGGCGGAGACGGGTGGAGTCTGTACCAGCAGCAGCACCAATAGTCCACTGATCATTGATAAGAAAGAGACTTTTACTGTTTACAGAGACCCAGCGCTGGTGCGCTCTAACCCAGAGGCTGTTGTCTCCTCAGCTAATTCATCTAACCATGTGCCAGCCTATCTCCATCCCCACCTGCACAGTCTACACCCTCCCTCCCCTCACTCCCCATGCCTTCCTCCTGCATCGCACTCTCACATAGCCCCGCACCTACTTCCCCCATCTCACTCCCCAGCCTTGCCTCACCCACATATTTTACCCCACAGAATGCTGCCGGCCATTCCTCCGGCTGCAGCATCTCTCTTTGGGGGGCATCCTCGGCTGGACTCTCCCGGGGGACTGGGTCACATTACCCTCCCTCACTCGGCAACCACACACCAGCAGCAGTTCCTCCAGGTCTGACTCCTGATTCACCATCATTAACATCTTCTTTCTTCAACGTTTGCCATGATGTAGAAGGTTCCAGTGAGAGTTGTCTCTTTTTCAGGGTCCCAGCAGTGCCGCAGGACTTGGCCTGTATCCCATCATATGGCAGTACCCTAACGGAGCACCGCCCTCCTACCCTCCAGGACTCAACCTGCAGGCTTCTTCTAAATGGGTTCTTTCTGAGAACCCAGTTGCTGTGAATTCTGAGGGTCCTCTACGGAGGGTGGGTAGTCCCTGTGTCTGTGTTTGTTTATGGGACAGAAGTTTATGCTCTGAGAATCATGACAACGTGCCAGCATTTTTCATATTATGTAGGAAAACCTGGACTCTATCAGATGTTTTTCAAAAGAGAGAAACGCGGAAACATGTGTTAAACAGTCCAGCTGAGTGTTTAGAGGGATGGGCGTTTCATTCACGGGTGGAACTAAGCCGCTCCTTGTCGTTTCAGTGTGTATTGCACCCAGGCTTGTCTGAACACAGCATGAGAATGTGTTCTCGGTAGCCTCTTTCGTAAAACATTTCCGCTCATTTGCCACAAAGCTGAGGCGGCATCAAGGAGCCTTGGGTCATTCACAAGTGGTCAGGTTGTTGCAGTAATGTGGCGCGATCAGGTGCTTTTCACAAATGATTTCTGATTTCATCATGCGATGGCAGTATCAAGGGGGTGTGGGGGCAGTCACTGCACTGTCACTGACTTCCTTTTAGCTTGGACACGACCAGCCCTTTTCTGCTATTGAAAACTCTTCACGTTGTTTTGACAAGCCGTTCCTAAAGGTCCCCGTGACCTGTCTGGTGATCTGACCTTCAGCTCCCGGAGCTCGGCATCGTTTGTTTGCCGTCTCTGTTGATTCTGTTTACAAAAACGAAACTTACTGCCAGTGTTTACTTTGGTTTTCGATATAGTTGCTGGCCAGAGCTCAACAGTAATTCCACATCTGATTATGACACCACCTTCTGTTGCGACAAGGTGTAATTTTCATTCACAAGTCCAGTGTTGCAGTAATGTTACTATCAAGCTTGGTGGTACGAAAGCCGCAAAATTGCCACATTGCCATTTCGCCACCGACAGTATTACGCAGATTTGCTGGCATGGTGTGTCTAATGTAAGCGGTTAATGCTATGTATTTTTAAAGTGAGTTGTGTGTGTGTGTGTGTGTGTGTGTGTGTGTGTGTGTGTGTGTGTGTGTGTGTGTGTGTGTGTGTGTGCGCGTGCGTGCGTGCGTGTGTGTGTGTGTGTGTGTGCAGAACACTGCCAGCCCATGGCTCCATCAGAGTGCCCTTAGCACTGGTGATGGTCTGGGTTTGTTGAACCACATTCCAATTCGTCCAGCCAGTGCCGACACTCACCGATCTTCCATCAAGATCAACGCAAACACAAGCCCCCCCATGTCAAAGGCTTCCATGGGGATTCAGAAAGAGTAAGATGGATAAATCTCCTCTGCATGTGATTTTAGGGTGTCTAACAGAAGGGGTCTTTTGTTAAATAATACATTTTCATCTAATTATTTGCTTTATTTGTTCTTTTTACTGCCGAACAAGTATTTTTACAATTTCTAATTATAATGTGGATGATAGGAAAAACGTAACGGACTACCAAAAGTTTAGAGCATGGATAGGCAGTCCTGGTCCTGGAGTGCTGCTATCCAGCATTGTTTAGTTTTCCCCCTGTTCTGACACATGTGATTTAAATCAGTAGGTTTGTGCAGAGCTTAATAACATGAACAGGTGAATCAACCAATCACTTAGATGTGTTGGAGCTAAAACATGCTGGATAGCATAGGTCCTAAGATGGAAGGGAATAAGTCCAATAATGGCTTTGCAGATAAAGATGTGCCAGTGTTTGTCTTCTCATGGACAAGGACGACTATACAACTCGCTCATACAGCATGCAGTGATGAGTGAGGGATTTCATGCTTGATACAAACCGCAAAGCTTTGTGAAAAACCGTGTTCAGAGAGTAACGACTCTGAGACGATGCATGCATATATAAAATATCGCCATAATCTAACACTGACAAAAAAGTGGCTTCCTGGAAGTGAAGTGAAGGAGAGACGGGATTTGATTCTGAAGTAAAACCCCAGTTTATTTTTTCAGTTTCTTCACCAGCTGCTGGGTGTAAATGAAAAAGACAGAGAACTGTCTATGAAAAGTCCCAAATATTTAAAATAAAAAACACACTCAATCTCTGTACTTTGAAGATTATGGATCAGGGGTAGGTTAGGTGGTTTTTGATTTTGAGGGAGAAAATATCATGGCCTTTGTTTTGTTTTCATTTCAAACCAATTTTAAGTCATAAAGTTGTTTTTGAATTATGTTAAAAGCAGTTTGCAACTGTGATATCTCTACCTGGGGCGAAGGTGCAGTACAATAAACCACGGTGTCATCAGCATAAAGCTGCAGTTTTGCATCAGGCATATTTTGGGCAATGTCATTTATATACAAAATAAACAAAAGGGGACCCAACACTCAGCCCTGTGGCACACCATTCAATAATTTTAAAGGGTTCAAAGTGCAGCCATTTTGGCATCTGCCTGTTAGATCCCGGTGGCTGCCTGGTGGGGTCTGGGTCCCTGGGCTCTGCTGGGTCCCCGGCGGGGGTGGTCGCCCCTGTGTCCCGGGTCGCTGGGCTCCGGGTTCAGCCGGCTAGGGGATGGGAGGCTGCGGGCGGGCCTGTGGGCTTGCCGCTGATATCTCCCGGAACTCTGCCGGCTGCTGGTTGTGGCCCCCCGGGGTGATCCTCTGTGCCTCTGAGGGGGGCGGGGGCCTTTCTGGTTGCAGTCTCCTTGGGGTTCCTGTGTTCTGGGGCAGCGGCTGGATCTCTGGGACTTGGAGCTCCCCCCGTCTCCTGCGTATCTTTGGGGGGCGGATCTGTGGTCCCTCACACTCTCTGTTGGGCGCTCCTATAGAGAAACCTTAAATAAACAAGCGCGTGTACACACACAGGTGCTCACATGGTGCTCTCAAAAGTATGGGCTTGGGCACGTTAAACACAGGTCTTAAGACTATGGTGGGCACTAAATGCACTGTGATTTATTATCGTGATTCTTCAGTTAAGCAATGCTGATTATATATTTCTTCATCAAGTTGACGCAGTGATCGCTTGCTCTTGTTGTATTGTTGTTGTGTCCCTTTTTTTTTTCGTTTGCTTTTTTTTGTCTTTTTCTGCAGGTCTAGAAGCAGACTCTTGTTCATTGTTTATTTTTGTGGAACACCCCCCCCCCCCCTCTCTCTCCCCACCTTTTCTTTTCCTTTCTCTTTCACCTCTGTCTCCGTGTCTGGTCGGAATTACAAAGCATTCAACAACAGTAACAATAAAGTTTTAAGTATCAGGCGTGACATTAAAAGCAGACGCTTTGATGCTCCACCTGAGAGTAAATCTGTAAGGCTTGTCACCAGCATTCAGACATCAATTCTGCTTGCTTCACAGCCAGACAGGACACGGTAAAAAAAAAAAAAAGTGCAGCCATTTGCCTGCACAGTCTGAGTTCTTTCAGTTAGGTAGTTATTAAACCAACCATCGGTTTGTTCAGAGAATCCCACTTTATGTAACCTGTGTAACAGCAGCATGTGGCCCACTCACTGTATCAAACGACTTTGATAAATCAATAAAAGAGCTGCACAGTGCTGTCTGTTGAGTAATGTTTCACTAAAGTCATTTAAAACCTTGAGAGCAGCAGATGTTGTGCTCTGCCGTTTTCTAAAACCTGATTGAAATTTGGATAAAACATCATTACAATTTAAAAAGTCTCAGCTGTTAACTAACGAGGGACTCAAGAACCTTTGCAAGGACAGGGAGTTTGGAGATCGACCTATAGTTGTTTAAAATGCTGGAGTCACTGCCTTTAAACAATGGGAGAACATAAGCCCATTTCCATATGCTTGGTATTACATTTGTTTGCAGAGAGAGATTAAAAATATAAGTTAAAGGAGGGGAAATAATATCTGCTGCTAGCTTTAAAAAGTATGGCCCCAAATTGTCAGGTCCTGCAGACTTGGAAACATCCAGGAGATTCAGGGCTTTATGAACCTCTGTGGTTTGGATTGAAGTGAAGCTAAAAGAGTGATTAAAGTGATTCTGAGCACCAGATCTAGTTTCAGAGCGGTGATTAGGATTCCGCGACTCAAACAAAAACCGTGAATCTATGAAGTGTTCGTTAAAATAATCAAGCATTTTGCTTTTGTCAGTGATTTTGGTGAGGTTTTCATGATGTAATGAAGGAAGATCTAGGCCTTTATTATCATCAGATATTGAATTAATAGTTTTCCAGAGTTTAGCTGGAATATTCAGGTTATTTGAGGTTCTAGAGAGGAAATAATCTGTTTTGGCTCTTCTAATTTTAATTGTACAACCATTACCCAGCTGCCTGAAAACTAACTAGTCAGATGATTTGATTTCCTTGCCTTGGACCAAGCCTGATTTTGTTCTTGTAACAGACAGGATAAGTCGGAGCAAACCAGGGATTGTTACGGTCTTAGACGTGGTTGATAGGTTATCCCTTGGCTAGGGCGAAGTGGTGCACTCCTAAATAAAAATAAAACAGCTTCTGGGGCCCATCTGACCCCGTTAATAATGCGGAAGGGTTAAAGTGGCACAGAGACCAGCATACATGGCGGTTGATGAAGCCATGCTCCCCGTCCCAATTGGACAATTATTAGCACATTTGTGTACCACACACACACTCAAAGCCTTATTGCACACTTCCCCCAAGTGCACTTATTGTGCCTGTGACTCCGTCGTCTAGCCCAGCGTGTGTGTGATGCCAAAAGACTTTAACTGATGAATTACTTGTGAATTGTGTATGCTGCAATGTGCAACTGAAAAGTTTTGTTTGTGCCATCAGGACTTTGACATTGGCACAGCTGAGGCAGAATCAGATGGATCAAAGTTGCACCTCGACAGAAAAAGATGTGCATCTTCACCGCTTGTACCTGGATTCGCTCATCAAACCCCACCGGACAAACACCCAGGTACGCAAGCACACACACAGAGGGCGGGAAACCCTGCCAGGAGCTGTAACCCTTTCCCTGAAATATGTGAAGATCCTCACTTTCAACCCTACTGATGGTTTTAGTGGAATTCTTATTATTTTGTAAATAAGTAAATTAAGTTTAGTAAAGGAACCATTTTTGGTTCTTTTCCTTCACTACATGTAAATGTTTTCCTAAAACATTAAAAACCTTTAATACATGTTACTGGTCCAGATGTTCTCTCTTTGTAGGACTGACTCCGCAGCAATTCATCACAAAGCATTCAGTTTGTAGAATGTGGGGAGTTTCCACAAATATTATAATCATTTTCCTTTCGTCTTCAGGAAGCACTTCAGGCAGCTGATCGAGCCGTTGCGTACAAAGAGGAGAATCGTCAAATCCTGAAAGAGAGCATTGAAGTTGCACCTTACACTGCTAAGATCCAGCCCTCCACTGAGACTGGCCTGAACAGGGACCGAGAGAGGAGACACGAGCAAGCATTCCCTGTACAGATGCCAGCTCTAGCCTCTGCAAGTCCAAAGGCCATCCACACTAATCCTCACATGATTCAGTCAGAAAGAAGCAGCTACTACAAAACGTTGTCCAACAACATCGCTAACGCGCCTCCAAGACTCTTCCCGTCCAAGGAGTGTTTCGGTCTCGGAGGCTCAGAGGAAACGTCGGGAATTGGGACCATTGTTGGTACTGCTGTGCAAACACATGGAGCTCAGGCTTTGACAAATTACAACACCAAGTGTTCCCTCTCCAAGCCCCCACCTCTGATTAAGCACCAAACGGATGGAGGAGAGGGTCTAGCAGGGAAAATCACAGAACAGCTCAGCCAGCAAGTCATACAACTTCACACCAGTGTAGACAGGAAAGATCATCACGACCCTGCAGTTTCTCTTTCCCTCTCCTCGTCCTCGTCTTTGTCCCCAGTCTCCAACCACCATCATCACCCCCATCAGCAGCAGCTCCGGGCAATGCCTTCTCTCTACCGAGCTCCTGTTTTCCACCCGCCCACGCAGCTCGCTCTGGAATGCAAAGAGGCTGCAGAGCAGGAAAAAGAAAAGGAGTGGGACAAATGTTGTTTTGTGGGACGGTTGTCACCACCGACTCTCACGCCCATCCAACCAATGAGTTTAGCAACATCTGGCACCAAAACGTTAGTTGAACAGCAGAAACCACCAACGCTGGTGCCAGAACTCAGGGATGTCAAAGGTCATGAAGTCACTACTGCAGTCACCTCCATGGCCTCCAACATCATTGGGGAAGTCAAGACAGATGGATGGAGAGGCAGAGAGATGATCTGGGAAAGAGAAAGTGTTCTCTCCAGAGACAAAGAGGTGTCAAAGGTTAAGCCCCAAGCAGCAATGGCATCAGTCATCGTGCGGCCAATAACATCTCTGAAGCACGAGAGTCCTGCTGGTGTGAACAAATCTAGTTCCATTAATCACCAGGACTTTGTTTCTGAGAGGCTGTACCCATCCAAGCTTCATGGGGAACCACCCAGATGTAGAGAGAATGTCAGAGAGGCTGGAGTTGGCAGGGTTATCCAACCCAACTCAAACCTGGATGATATGTGCACCCAGTATAAGAACACATCCATGCAGACTACACCGAGGCCTGCAGGTGTCACCTCTACCAATCCTGTCTGCAGGTCTGCCACGGTTCTCTCACCAGGTGTGGATGTACAGAAGGAACCCCCTAAGGCAGAACACTCGGCTCGGGACGAGTTGTCAGCCATTAAAACTGGCTCTGAAGGCTGGCCGCTTGGTCACACAAGACCAGCTAGAGATTACCATCACCATGAGGTGTTTGATGCACGTTCCGCTTCAACGGGACTGTCTTTGCTTTTAGCTAGTCCAGCAGGAAGACCGCTACCCAATCAGATCATCATCCCAGCACCCAGCTCCAGCCAGGCTTTCTCTCCCTCATTTGTTCATCTCAAAAAGCACAAAGCTGCTTTAGCTGCAGCCCAGTCCAAAAGCAACCTCCCTCCTCCTCCCACATCTGTGCCAGCCAGAAACTCTTCCTTAGCTTTGGAGTCAGCTGACAAAGCTCCAAATCACAGCTCCACTCCTCCACTCTATTCTAGCCAAGCTTCCTCGTCCTTGACTGACGACAACAGCAGCTCTGCAGTCAGTGCAGCATCAGACAAGTTAAGCCCCTTACCTAATGGCCAGCCTTCAGCATCAGCCCCGGTTGGCTGTGGCCAGCCCAGTAACTACCACAAGCTGAAGAAGGCCTGGTTAACCAGGCATTCTGAGGAAGACAGGAGAACATGTGCTACCATCACCATGTCTAATGCTAAAGCAGATAAACTGCTCACCACCACCTCCAGTACATGCAACGCCACCGCCATGTCGGACATGATCAAACCCTGTACCGTCAACCTCAGTGCCTCCACTTCTAGCGAGGTGGAGATGAACAAAGGTGAGAAGGAGAAACAGCAGGAAAAGAACACAGGGGCCCGAGGGGGGGAGGTAAAGAAGTCAACTCCTTTATCAAGGCGTGGAAACAAGCGCTTATACGATTCTGGCTCTGAAAGTGGGGGAGACGACTCGGATGCTAGCGAGAGCAAGATGGAGGGTCGAGCTAAACGTCAGCCTAAGCCGACCTACAAGAAAAGGCAGAACGACATGGCCAGGAAAAGAGGAGACAACGAGAAGGAAGATGAGGAAGTGAAGCCCAACGGGATCTTTAGATCAGCCCGAGAGAAAACCAAACTCAAACTGGCCACCAGCAGTAAGTTCTGAACTCGTCGCCACTTGGTTTACAGTTCCGTATGTGCATGCCCTCTGCCATCAACTAAAAGTTGGATATAAGTGTTTAAAAACACCCTCCTAAAAGAGCTTGATGCTGGTTTTTAATGGGAGGACTTAATATTTCTTAAGGATTGTTGCTTTCTGCTCAGGATTTCTTTAATAAGTAGTTGTGAAAAATGGACTTAGCCACTGAGTTAGGTCAGGGGCCTCATTCGTGAAGCTGATTACACCGTAAACAGAGTCCAACATCTGGTTGTGTTATTTTCTACATTGGCTTTGTGATTCAAAACAGTTTGATGGGAAAATGTGGCAACTTTAAACTCTGACCCTGGTGTAAGCGCCTGTCGGTAGTAGGAAACAGGAAGCACAGCTGGTGAGGTGGTGGCAGGGGGAATTTAAGCTACATTCACTGACTTGTAGACGCGCGTGCATGTGTACACACACACACATACACCCCGTTTCTAAACTGAGTGAAAATGACAACCGGAATGATAATGTGATTCTACATTGATGAGTTGAAACAACACGACAGGGCATCCAAGGTTCCTCAAACTATGAGGCCATTGAAACACCATCTATAAGCCATGGGGACACCAGTCATCTGGTCACCCATCACTCAGTGTGGCTATCAGTTTTATGGCTAGAAGGTAATTTTTTTTTTCCATGTTTCTACATCACCCACAAGCACCCCTATTTCAGTTTCTGTGAAATGTCATTTTCTGGACCTCTCCACTGTCATGGTTACCCATGAAATGCCATCGATCAGCTGGTGAACTCATTTGCAGAATATTCATGAAGTCCTTCCCATCAAGCGTTTATGGCAGAAAGTGGAGGCAGAATCACTTCAGCACATTTCTAGGAAGAGTGTAAAATGCAAAGCAGGAACTGAGCCAGCTTTGCATAAGCAGTGTTTTCTATTTCGGGTAATTAGTTTGCATAAGTGCACACACACATTATATATATATATATATATATATATATATATATATATATATATATATATTCTTAAACAGTCTTTTGTCTCAATCATGTTGGATGGAAGGTTACACTGAAACCGATTTCCTGCTGGTTGGCTGGGGGGTTGTCAGTTTTTCTACAGGGGAAAAACAAAAGCAGTCAGTTTGTGAGGTTGCCCGATCTGTGTTGAGCAGATTGTAATAAGTGTAGTAAGCACTCCCAAATGTACAACTCAAAGAATGCTAACACCAGATATTCAAATCAGTTTATTTATAAAATCACGACAAGCGTAGTCTCAAGGCACTTCACACAGTAAACATTCAAATACAGGCCAGTTCATTAAGCCAATCACTGAAATGCTTCTTGTATAGGGATCCCATCAGATAGCATCGAGTCAGTAGCCACGTTTACATGGACACATTTAATTGGATGCCCATTCAGATCAAAGATGTTGCATGTAAACATGTCAATCCGAATATTCTGATCCGATTCGGCTCGATCGGATTGTAATTTCAATCCGATTGAGAGAGATGGTTTTGTCCAACCATCATTCTGATTGACGTGCATGTACACAGCCGTTCGGATTGTTGGAGTAAAATAATGCCCTCTGCGCATGTGTGCAACAGCTAGCGAGCCTCCCCGTCGTCATTTAGACTGCCTGACTTAAAAATGTCCGCCTAATTAACGAGCACCGGCTTTTAAATATGATGGCAAGCCTCGTCCCCGTTTCTGTAATTTCTAATCCAGAACTTGCATTTTGTGGAAGTAAAACAAAATCTGATTATTGCCCAAATCATTCGACAAACATTTTCAAGTCTGTACTGGAAACACGTAGATTCATTTCGGGTTTGCAGCACGAATCCCCGTTTCTGTGACCGCAGCAGCTGTTTCTGCAGCAGTTGGATGGAGACGTGCTGTAAAGAAGACAGGGTAACATCGGTTAATCGCACCTGGTTTGAGTTTGAGGCTGATGTTGAGTGGAAAAACGTCCTCGGTTAAATATTCTGGCCGACTATCTGGGTAAAAACACGTTAACGCAGATGAGATGTGGTTCGTTTATTCACACTTGATGAACACAGGCTTCCAGACTTTCTGAACAACTCCTGTTATTTAGTTGGAACAAAAATGACTCAACAGTTTCAGCTGATTGTCACATTTTATTAATAATAAACCTCAACAGAGCTCAGTAATAAAACACGAGTCTGACCCCCACCCCCGCTCAGCCGTCACATCAGACCTGCGGACCAGCTGATCAAGAGGCAGAGACCAGGATAACCCTCCCTTATTTTAATAACGTCAACAATAAAATGCAGAAAAGCAAATATCTGCAGTCATTCACTGAAGAAAATGAAACTTCTATGAGCAAAATAAAAGTATTAAATAGATTAAATGGATCAGGAAAGCAGGAATGGTTTTGTCTGTTTTTACATTTTTCATTTTGTTTCATGACGTTTACGTTTTTTTTTTTTTTTTTTCCAAAAAAGACAACTGCGCATGCTCAACCTATTTAATCTGATTGAACGCTTGGTGCACATGAACATACGCATGGTCTAATCATTTCAGTTAGCGCGCATGTAAACAGAGATTCGGGATTTCCGATCAACTAAGCTTTGAATCGGATTGGGGAAATTTGGCACATGTAAACGTGGCTAGTGACTAGTGTCAGTATCTTTACGACAATCCTCATCCTAAGCAAGCATGTAACTCACTTTTAAAAGGAAGAAACCTGCAGAGGATCCTGGCTCAGTATAAGCAGCCATCCACCACGACTCACTGGGGATGGAGAAGACAGAGCAGACACACACACACACGCACAACATATTTAACAAGTAGTGTTTCTATGGCTATATTATGATTTCTTAATAGATATTTTATTCAGTAAAAGTTTAACTTTACTGTCTTTAAGTGAATCTATAATTAATTTATCAAGTAAACTAGTAGTAGCACATTCTATGTTAAAGACAGTAAAGTGTTATTATCAGGAGAGGGAGAATGTTTGAGTAGTTAGCAGCAGTGTGCTAGACGATGGCCCCTCCATGAGGCCACCACAGCTCAGCAGAACATCATTAGAGCTTATTCTGAGGAGAAAAACACTTAAAGGGAAAATAAATTTAACAGCATAAGTAACAGGAATTAGAGAGTGGTGGTAGAAGAAAGTAGCAGAATGTCTGTGTGTGTGTGTGTGGGGGGGGGGGGGGGTGGCAACTGTATTAAAGAGAACTTAGGGATTATTCTTATTCTCTTCAATTAGTGACTAAAATATGTGGTTCTAGCTTTTCAAACATTATTTTTATAAAGCACTAGACTTTTTCCAGGATAAGTAGGACCCCACCCCACCCCGGTGTGTAGAGCGCCAAGTTCCCTACAATTTCTAGAGTTCTGTTTTAAAGTATGCAGTTCAGAGTTAAACCAGGGAGCCAGCTTCCTGTGCTGGAGAACTTAATTTAAATAAGTTCAAAGTTATCAAAAAATGATCCGACAGGACTGGATTGAGTGGAAATACTGTTAACTCCTCATGCTCTATGCCAGGAGTCACCAACCTTTTTGACTCGTCAGCTACTTTTACACAATGAAGGTACAGAAGAGCTACTGCCATATGATTTATTCACATTGATGCATTGATACTCGGTCCTGTGTGTGAACATGCTTAATATGTTACAAAAGCTATGCTTGCACATGCATTGTATTTACAAGTTGATTTCTCCGTATTTTAATACATCAGTATTGTAAAAATAAAAATAAATAGTACAAGGAAGATGGTGACCTTCTGAAAATCAAACAAAGCAAAATATATTTTGTTTTTTAACTAATCAGATACTTTCAGATAATGAAATACAAATCTGCTTTGTGTGAATGATATGAATTTTTTTAGAATGGATTAGTAACCTAACTTTATTAGCACACATAAATGAAAATACCTCCAAAGACCAGATTTGATACATTTAATGTTCTTTTAATTGACAATTAATCTAAAACATTTTAAGTAATTATGAGAATTTTCTAAACAATGCAAAACAAATTTTCTCATAAAATGAATAAAGTTGAAGATATTTTAAATCAAATATGTGCTAAATGTGATGAGAACACAAAATTCTAAATGGTTTGAACTGCAAAAACAAGTAAAATTTCTTAACTGTTACCCAGAATATTTTACTGCGTATGTTTTTCTGCAATCAGGTCCGTGTAAACATCACCCTGTCTCCTTTAGAAGCACGTTTTCGTCCCCGCATCAGCTGCAGCCACTTAGAAACGGGGATCTGTGCTGCAGCCCGATCAGTTAATCCGCATATTTCCAGTAGTACACGATTGCATAAAGATCTGTGCAATATTCCGATTTTTCTTTTTCTTTCACAAAATGCTAATTTTTGATTTGATATTAGAGAAAACATATTTAAAAGGTGTGCCTCGTTGATTACAAGTCAGGCAGGGTGGCTCGCTGACGGCTTTAAGGCGAGCAACTTTCAAGTGCGTCGCGAGTTACCGGTAGCTTGCAAGCGACATGTTGGAGACCCCTGCTCTATGCCATGTCAGCAGAAGGTCTAATGTATGATGGCAGGAGTGGGTGGAGCTATGTAGTCTTTACCATACCAATTTATTTATAAGGCACCATTTAAAAATGGCATGGCAGCTAACCAAAGTCTTGTACATAAAAGAGGCAAATGCTCGAACATATCAGCAAAAACATAGTGAAAACATGGAAATCAGGTAAAATACATAAAAACATGGCATAAGTTATCATGGATAAAAATACCTACATTTAAGAGAACAGGTCAAAGGTAACAGCACTATTCAAAGGAAAAAATTATGCAATTCTTTGAGTAAAACCAATTGAGTCTTAAGATATTACTAAAGGTTATGTTGAGGCTATCACTTAAAATGTGAACATGAACGTTAATGTCACCCACTACAATGGTCTTATCAGTATTTAACTGCAAATCAGACAAAACGTCAGGTTTGATCCAGAAACTTAAGAGTAAGGGCCGATGCAAAACTACAAGCAAGAGTTGTTGTTTTTTTTTTATG